GTGTGACCGACCGCATTTCCCACAGCGGTCCCGCCCTGACTGGCCTTTCGGCCTACCATCGGATCCTGGCTTCTTCTTCCTGAAGCCCCCGTTGTCAGCCCCTCCGCTGCCTTCCTCTTCCGGATGTGCTCCAGATCAATCTCCCTCTCCCTAGCCCTGGCAATCATGGAATCCAGGGTAGGGCAAGCTGAGAAACTGACATACTCCCGGATGTCAGCTCGTAGCATGTCATGGTAGCGGGTCCTCTTCATGTCCTTATCACCCGCATACTGGGGCACCAGCAATGCCCTCTCCCGGAACTTGGCGGTGATCTCCGCCACAGTCTCCGTAGTCTGTCTCATGTCCAAGAACTCCCTGGCCAGCTGCTAAAGCTCCACAGCTGGCGCAAACTCCGCCCTGAATCTGGTCACAAAGTCTGACCAGGTCATAGCCTCAACAGCCAAGGCTCCCAGAGAGTCGCCAACCGACTCCCACCAATCTTTGGCTCTGTCTCTCAAACACCCTGCAACGAAACGGACCTTCGACCCTTCCGGGCAGAAGCTCGTCAGCTGCGCAGACTCGATGTCTGCGATCCATCTCCTAGCAGCAATGGGTTCTTTCACCCCATGGAAATCCGGCGCACCACTCCCTCTGAAGTCCTTAAAGGAAAGTGTGTGTGATCCTTACTGGTTGGCCGCCATGTCACTCCTGAATGCCCTGAGACGAACCTCCATCAGCTCAACAATCCCTTCCTTGATCGACCCGAAAATGACCGGGGTCGACTCAAGAATGCCTCTCGTGATCTCAGACGCGATTAACTCGCGCAACCCGTCATCAACCTGCTCGGATCCTGCACCTGAGCCTGATCCTGATCCTGATCCGGAACCTCCTGCTCCATGTCGTGTGGTCACCATGCTGAAAATACACGCATAAATGTCAGGATCATACATACTCTCGAGAGGTCTAACACACTCTCCAAGGTTCCCGGTTCTGTCTCAACCTTCCTTGATTTGAGTACGGATCCTATGCTTCCAGTAGTACGGGCCCATACTACCTTTCACATCTATCCGTACTTTCCTCAAGGACTGTCTCGGCTCCACCAGGTCCCTTAACCAATATCCCTTTCCATCTAGTCTCATCCCAGGCTTTCCTGGGGCACTCTCTGACCTACTCTCCACCATCAGCTGCACTAGGAGTCCCTACTTCCCTTCCCTAACTAGCTTGCGAGTACTATTAAATATCCGCTCACTAGTTAGTTAAAGTTAGCCAGGACCCCTTAAGCACAAAGCAAGCAGCATTCGTGCATCGAGTAACCGCCTCAGGCATAACCTAATCAGGCTATCCTACTGCTGACTAAACAGTCCTAGCATACAGCTCATACAACAGGCATATAAGGCATCCTCTCTAGACCCTTAGCCCTAACTAGCATGCAATTCTCAGAATCATATATCAGGCACACAAGGCATCCTCCTAGATCCTTAGTCCTATTCTAGCATGCAGTTTTCTGAATCAAAACCATATAGCATAACATAGCAAGTATGGGTATCTTGGGGAAAAATTACTTGAGCCCGGCCGGTCGCATGCATCACATACTTCGTCTTTCTTAAAATCCTTCCATTTAGATTTTAGAAAACCATTTTCCTTGTAAAAACCTTTTAGCCCCTCGGTTTGAGTCCAGACACCCCCGAGGGTGTGTCCGAATCCCTCAAACCAGGGCTCTGATACCAACTTGTAACATCCCAATTTTCAAGTCCAAAAATTTCTTTTTAATTAACTGACTCGTAAAAAAGATTCATAAGAAAATACTGTGAAAACACATCATCTCATAAAACAATGTATCATGTCTGAAAACCCAAGTCATAAATAAATAACATATCAGAGTACAATCCCAGAAATTCCGATGCGGAATCATATGTGTGTGTGTGATGCGATGCTACGCCGCCGGCTCCTTCCCCTTAGACGAAGAGGTACCTGAAACCAAAACCGAAACCGTAAGCACAAAGCTTAGTGAGTTCCCCCATCATACCACATACCATACAATATCATCGGTATCTTTGAACCGGTAATCATCGTCGGTATCTTTCAACCGGTAATCATCATCGGTATCTTTCAACCGGTAATCATCATCGGTATCTTTCAACCGGTAATCATCATCGGTATCTTTCAACCGGTAATCATCATCGGTATCTTTCAACCGGTAACTGTCATCGGTATCTTTCAACCGTAACTGGGGACTATTCCACCCCCTACCACTAGCATACACAACAAGATATAAACATACAGTCAGGCATATCCGGGTACTGACCTACCCCTCGGTCCTAAGGACCGCTGTCATGGAAACTAATCCCTATTATACACGTAACATATCATACAGATAAAACTCATGACCAAAGCACGTAACCTGACCAGATAATTATCACAAAGACAATCATCTCTTCTAAATACCCCTCTTTGGTGGGCCGGCATTTGGCCTTAGACCCACCCCTACTAGAAGGTAACTCACCTCGTACGAGTAGCTGCTGATAATCTGTGCGGGAAACCTCTGTCTGCTACTGCTCCGGAAATCCTCCAGCTACAATCCCCACAAAACACTCAGTCAGAATCTGATATCTACTCTTAGGGTAAAATAACCATTTTACCCCTGACCAAGTCCAAGTCAAAGTCAAAGTCAACTTCCAGTTGACCCGACTCGCCGAGTTGGGCCGCCAACTCGTCGAGTCCCTATCTCTTCAACTGTCCTCATCCACGACAATACTCGTCGAGTTTAGCGACGACTCGACGAGTTCCTCTTCGATGTGAACATCGAATGAACCTTCATCTGACTCGCCGAGTTGTATGAACAACTCTTCGATTTCACCTTCATCTGATGAACAAGTTCTGACCTTGACTCGCCGAGTGTATGAACAACTCGTCGAGTTCATCTTCAATCATAAGGAGATTGCCTTGGACTCGCCGAGTCTGTTCTAGTACTCGTCGAGTACCATGAACTCCAGGTCTAAAACTAAGTCCAATGCGTTGGGTCACTCTTTCTGTCCTGCTACAACCCTTCTAACATCCAACTGAGTTCTTTGACCCTCAACAGATATGGGACTCAAAGCCTTGGACTCGTCGAGTTCCAAGAACGGACTCACCGAGTCGATAACGTCCACACCCTAAATCCTCGATTTCTGATGTACAACACTTGTCCAAATGATAGATCCAAGCCCCTAAGCTCGATCTAGCACGTAAAGTTACGAACTTTATGTGCATGCATGGGACTTTTGAGCCAAAAAGGCTCTAAAATGGCTCTTTTGTTGCATGGGACCTTCCTTGGGTGCAAAAGCAACCCAAATCTGCCTTGTGACTCTTCCCAAGACTTAGATCCGAAGTCTTGACCCCCAACCATGTTTGCAATCATGGTTGGCTACCTCATATGGCTTAAAAAGCCCTAAATCTTCCCCAAAAAGGGATCTAACAAACAAGCAAGCAAGGTATAGACTTTATACCTTTCAAAGACTGCAAATGATGAACCAAACTCGAATCCTTCAGTCTCCTCTTGATCCTTCTATGTTCTTCCTCCTTCCTTGAGGTCAAAACCCACAAAAATCACTCAAAAGCCTTAGATCTTGCACCAAAACACTTAGGGTTTGCTATGGAGGGTTCCTGGGAGCATAAAGGGGCGATGGAGGTTGTATAAGGTTGTTTAAATAGGGTGCAAACCCTCAGATTATGGTTTTGTCCAGTCAGAGCCTACTCGTCGAGTCCGCGACCCGACTCGACGAGTCCATCACTTAAATCCCGCGTCTCATCCCGCTTCTACTCAGCGAGTTGGGCCTTCAACTCGTCAAGTCCCAGGCCAAAAATGCAAAATTACTTAATTAAAATGCATACCAGGAACCAGGTGCTACAACGTTTTATAAGAATAAAACGTTTTAACTCACTACATTATGTTGACTTTCAAACCACATGTATTCTCAGGAGAATGAGCCCAGAAGACGAGGGAAGTAACCCCGGTGTTGCAGCTAGAAGTTTGTGCACCCTATTATTGTACTTTGCTTTTGTGACCTATCTATATTTCGAACAGTTGTGTAATATATTTTTATTTTATGAATAAGAAGTAACGTTGTATGATATTCTGGTATATTATTTCAATGCATGTCTATGGCCTGATCTCTAACATTATATCGTCGCACAACCTGACGTTTGCGCCGCCGGCCGAGGGTGTGACAGATTGGTATCAGAGCTTCAGCTTATATCGAACTAGTAATGCCTTAGGAAATACAACTATAATGTAGGGCTACGCTCTAATTAGGTTTAATCTTTAAGCCTAATCAATTAAAAAGTATTATTATTAATTACACTACTTCTAAACTACTTACGGGAGAGGTGACTAGTTTGAACTACCGCTTGGGTTGTTGGATTTCTGAACGGCTATACGCCAAAATGGTCCTACGCTCTGGTACTTCTCACCTAACTGATCCTTATTTAATAGTCTTGAAGTACATAACCCTAAAAGTTAATAAAATACTCACAACCAAACAAAAATTAAATGATATAGAGCAATATAAATACGCTCATATAAATATATCTACTACCTACAACACGAATCCAAGAAATCAAAACTCAGGATTTTAGGTGAAAAACAGTATTTAGAGTTGGTATGTAACAATTTCCGTACCAAAACTAGACATAGAATGTGCAACTAAGTTTTATTATGGTTCGACCAATGCACGACCGAACTCAGATACGGTGGTTGGCAATCTAAACGTTTGAGGACTTCTGGATTGGATGCTTAGTTCCAAGGATTCTACACTTGGAGATTTCTTTTTAGAGGCTTTCTACGTCTAAGGATTTCTAGCTTAGCGCCATCTACACTTGAGGATTCGTGACTTAGGAACCACTATTCGTGACTTACGTCAGAATACGAAAATTAGGAGTTACGGGTACTATCTATCACATATTTATAATTGAATATTATTTTGTTATCTCTCATAAAATATATCTTTCATGTTTGATGTCTTATCCAGGTTTGCCAGAGAGTCATGACAGACGCAGGATCACAGAGGGCAGCTTCCCTTCCAGAGGAGGAGCCGGTGGAGGGCAGTGATGAGATCGAGGTTGATGCCACCATTGGTTCGGACACTTTCGAGCCTAATTACACTCCAGACGACCCCATCAACCCAGACCCTTCAGAGCCTGACTACAAACCATCTAAGCATGAGCCCATCAACTTAGACTATGAGCCGGATGAGGATGAGGAAGAAATCGCCACCTCCCCAAAGATCTTACCGCCCCTTCCCACTCTCTTACACCGATCATACCGATCCTGTCTTACTAGTACTCGGGTTAAAAATACCCCGAGGAAGACTACGACAATCCCCACTCGAAAGAGACTAGCTTCCCCACGAACATCCCCACATCCAACAAAGATGCGTTGTAGCAACTATGCATGGATGCCTCAGATTAGAGGATTATGACGGGGGGAGGATATCGGTTTTCACTACGAGGTAAGGGAATCCACTACCGCACCAGACCCCATCTCGGATACTCAGATAGAGCAAGCTATATCCTTCTTGGTACCACAGACTTCCCAGCACTCCAATCATTTAGGAGTTGTGGGCTCTGAGCTTTTCCAGCTAAGGATGACCCTGTTGTACACGGCAGAAGGGATAGACTACCTATAGGAGGAAATGGACGTGGCAGAGCTGCAGATTCTCCTAATACAGGACCAGTTGCAGGATGCTTACGATGAGACGCAATTTCATCGACATTTATTGAAGGAGGTTGTCTGTCATACCGAGAGTTTGGAGCAGCAGTTTGATAGAGCAGAGTTGAGTATCTTGTAACACCCCGATTCCCAGGTATGAATCTAAAGCTTTATATTTATATTTTTAGGGCAACTTGACGAGTTGGAAGGCTCAACCTCGTCGTGTAGAGTATTTAATGACCGCGTATCTTTAAGGTCTACTCAACGAGTTGGAAGGCCCCAACTCGACGAGTTGAAGGCTGAACATGAAAACCCTAATTTTTAGGGTTTGCGCCCTATTTAAAGGCCTTAACTCTCATTTTTAGCCTCCCTCACCGTCCCCTCAGTCCAGAGAAAACCCTAATCGTGCCTCTTTCCCCATTTTGAGTGGGTGTGAGCTTAAAGAGTGTTCTTTGGTGCTTTTCTTGAAGGAGTGTGAAGTTGGTGGTGCAAAGTTGAAGGGAGAAGCTTTAAATCCGGGATTTTCAGTGTTGTTGCAACCATTTGGAGGTATAAAGTCGTTATCTTGATCATCCCTTTGCTATATCTCTTCTTTTGAAAGTTTATGGCCATTATTAGCTTATTTTGGGACCATTCTTGTATTTGAGCATGTTATGAAGCCATGGTTTCAGATCTGGACATCTCATGGCCTCCATGGACTTAAAGTTGCCAACTTTATCAAAGTCTTGGCCTCCTTCATGCTCTAAGTCCCTTAATAAGCCTTGTTTGAGTAATTTAGCCCTCATAATGCCATGCATTGACGTAAAGCTAGCAACTTTACATGGTATTTCAGTCCTAAGGGACCATATCCATAGTTTGGGGCTTTGGTTTGGCTTAGAAGTGTCTAAATATGTTAAGACTGGGAAAACTCGATGAGTTATTCTAACAACTCGACGAGTTGGATCGGGTTTTCCCGCCTTATGAATACTGAGCGAACTCGGCGAGTTGGCTAGGGTTTTTCCCGATTTCTGAACACTGAAGGAACTCGACGAGTTGCTAGTTGCACTCGACGAGTTGGGTCAACATGAACTGTTAACCTTGACTGTTGACTGTTGACTTTGACCATGGTTGACCAAGTTTGACTTTAAGGGTATTTTGGTAATTTAGGATTTTAATGAAGTGAGTCACATGGTGGTTGTAGGCAGTCGAGATCGGAGCTGAGAGTTGGGATTTGATCTTCTTGATTCAAAACTACTTGTGAGGTGAGTTTTCCTCACTATACTCAAGGGTCTAAGGCACCAAGGTCGGCCCTTTGGATTGTTATCCTGATTTTTACTGTTATGATCTGTTTAGATCGGTATCATGGTATATAGGATGTTTCTATGTTGTTATGATATGTTAGATCGGTATCCTGGTAGATTGGATGTTGCTATGCTTAGTGATCTATAGATCGGTTTGACTGTCTGTAGACTGTTATGTGATTATCTGATATTTGTGCATATGTTTGATTGGTGGTTGAGGCTTTTCTGCTTTGTGTATGAGCCAACAGACCGGGGCATTCCAACCCGATGGTTGAGGGCCGAGAGTATTCCATCCCGAGGATGATTGGACTCATAGTATGTGGGCATTCCAACCCGATGGTTGAGGGCCGAGGGTATACCATCCCGAGGATGATTGGACCCATAGTATGTTGGCATTCCAACCCGATGGTTGAGGGCCTGGGGCATTCCAACCTGATGGTTGATTGGGCCCATAGTATGCTGTTATTATATGTATGTTATTGTTGTGCGGGTATTTTGGGGGAACTCACTAAGCTTCGTGCTTATAGTTGTGGATTTTGTTTCAGGTACTTCGGATGATCGCAGGAAGGCGAAGGCTTGATCGTGCACCTCCTCGTTTTTCATGTTGTGATTTCTAGGAAAACTCTGATATAGGATTATTTTGAAAACAATTTGTAAACAATGGATGGTTTTGAAATGTTTGGAATTTTAAATTTTACATGAATTTTATGGATGTTATAGATCTCATTTTTTGATGTTTGGATAGATTTTGTTTACAGACAGCAAGTGCAACTTATGACACTTTTGATCGTGTATTGTGGATGTTAGACTTTTCCCTAGCATGATGGTCGGGATGGACATATCGACACTATTTGGGTTAGTGTAGTTAGAAAAGTTCACAAGTATGGCATACTTGCTTATTTTGTAAACTATAGGTCTTTTCTTACACTAACTACCCATTTTGGTGGTCACTCTGTAAAATATTATGATGCTTATAATATAATGTGGTTGTATGAAATCTATGTGTTGTGTTATTTCTCTACTGTTTAACTAAACACTAACAATAACACTCCACGTCATAACCACTCCCACGGGGACACTAACTATACAATACGATCAACTGACTCACATCACGATATTAACTTTAGGAATAAAAAAATGGCACCCCCGAGAATCACCAGATCCAACCAAAGTCCCCAAACAGATCAGAATGCCCAATCTGCTCATAGTAACCCACTTATGGAAACAACGGCCATTGAGGCTCTGGTAGAACAGCGAATTAATAACGCTATGGAAACGTTAGGAAACAACCGTCACACGGACTCTGGGATTGGAGAAGGAGGAGAAAACTCCCAAGGAAACAATCAAGGTGCCCTTAGAACTTGCACCTACAAGGACTTTATTAACTGCAAACCTAAGACGTTCTTCTAAAATGAAGGCATCATAGGGCTCACAAGATGGATCGAATAGATTGAGTCTGTTTTCGAGATTAGATCTTGTCCTGAGCAATGCAAGGTGAAGTTTGCTTCTTGCACCTTCTTGGATACAATCATGTCTTGGTGGAACAACCACGTCAAGACAATAGGCCTCACCAATTGTGACATCTTGGAATTTAGGTCATAAACTGTGAACGGGTATTTATAGTAAATCTCTTTGTAATTTGACTCGTTGAGTTTTAGTGCATCTAATGTAAAAAAATGGGTTCATTTCAAATATTATAAGATACCAGATGATATTATACTTCCAAATGTGTGAACTATCAAACGAATAAAACAGCTCAAACTGCAACCCTAGTTAATGCGTCTGAAAACTAAAAATTTGTATTAAGCAGTTATGAGCAAATAAAACATTGAAAACTTATAGTACATATTCCCCTTTTCCGAAAATATAAAGAACGACCAAAACGGAGTTCGTATACAAAAGATATGACCGTTTTAAGAAAACAAACAGTAAAACATTGACACAGGCATGGTCTAATATTTAATTTCATTGAATCAATCCGCTGAGGCACTTGCACACATCCGATGGAAATTACGAGAGCGTTTTTGGACTCAGGCATGGTCTAATATTTAATTTCATACTCAAAATATTTTTAACAGAAATATTCGCAAAAGTCGAAAAATCAAAAGTTACGGGCCAATTAAACACGGAACTTTAAACACGATTTGTCGGAGTTCTACAAGTTGAAAAATTAATCTGTTTGGATTTTGGAATCTTTGAAATTAACCCTATGAAACGACACATTCAAAAAAAAATATTAGATGTCCCGAACCCGGTACGTAAATTGAGGAACATTCTAGGGCATGTAATGCTAGATTTGGTCACTTGGTGGGCCCCACCTTATGGGATCAGCCATGAGGAGGCCCCTAGGACCCCCCTCACCACATTCCAACCCCCCCCCCCCCCCACCTTCCTTCCTCCCATCCTTCTTTGCCCAACACTCCACCACAAGTACTAAGAATGGGTTTGAATAAGTGTTTGACCTTCCTAGAAGGCATTAACTTGCAAGCTTGAGAGAGGACCCTTACTAGTATATATAGAGGGTCTTGGAGACCCTCAATCACACACCAAAACTCAACAACTTCTCCCTCTCTCTCTCTCTCTCTCTCTCTCTCTCTCTCTCTTAAGTTCTTACTACCACCCACCACCTTATAACTCTCCCTTAATATAAATCACCACTTCAACCCTTTCCCTACCATCCCCCTCATCAAATTTTGCCAAGAAACAGGAAAAGGAACGTGGTAGCCACCACTGGCCACCCTTCTGCCACCACCGATTGCACTTGCTGCCACCACCGTCCAATCCACCTCCGACGAAGCTACAAACCTGTTGTTGCCTTGGAAGACCTCCCACACCATCTCCTCCCTTCCTCGATCAGTGAGTACCACAGAAGAAGGATTCGGAGGCAACAACAGGCTACCAGAAGCCTCTCGTCACACTACTAGAAAACTAAGTAATTACCTACAGCAGAATTGGTAGTAAATCCGTAGGAACAAGGCGTTACCTACAGATTTCCTACAAAAAACGGGTTGTAGGAAAAACCCTCGTGGGTAATTTTTTCCTACAAATTAGCTACAAACGTTCCTACGCATTTCCTACGGAATATTTTGTTACAAATTTAACTACGGAATACCTACGGAGTACTTACAGATTACCTACGGGTTATTTAGTTACGAAACTCCTACAAAGTACATACGAATTATTTTCCTACGGAATACCTACGAAATGATTTTCCTACATAATACCTACCAACTACTTTACCTACAAATTACCTACCAACACCTTTTCCTACGGAATAACTACCAACTGATTTTCCTACAGAATACCTACCAACTACTTTACCTACAGATTACCTACCAACATCTTTTCCTACGGAATACCTACAGATTTTATTGGATTTTATTTCCTACAGAATACCTACTGAATATTTATTTCCTACAATTTTTCTATGAATTTTTTACCAGTTTTTATTGCTATATTAAATTTATAATTCCTACAGAATATTTATTTCCTACAATTCAGTCAAAAATCTATTGCTATATTAAATTTATAATTTAAAAAATATCCAAATTTTCTGCTAAAAAAAACCAAATAAATAATTAAAATAATAGTCAAATACCATTACATTCATTACCATTAAAATAGTCACTAACATACCATTCATACATTCAAATACTCAAAATACCATTACAATACCATTACAAAAACTAAGAACTAGTCAATAACATAACATTAATTTAGTGTTCTAAAACAAAAACTAAGAACTACTTGGTGGATTACCGGACGGATTGATTTGTTTCATAAAGGCCGCCAATTGTCGTTGCACTTGCAATTCCATTTCATTTCTCATTTGTTGCATTTGCAAATTCATTTCACTTTGCTTTTCTTCCATGGCTTGTTCCATGTTTGACAATTGTTGTCGCAACTCATTTACCTAAATATAGCAAGACAAACACATGCAGTTAGTAAATGTAATTCAACTTTAAACCATGATAGCAATGTACTTTACTTTTAATTCAATATAAAGACACACTATTGATAATAAAAATGTACATTGTTTTTAATATCCATAATAATAACTTTTAATATGCATAATAATAACATTTTCAAAGCCAAACAACCAAAACTAAGGCAAACATTACCAAATCCAGAAAAAGAAACACATTTTCAAAGCTAAACATCAAGGGTAAAATCGTCCAAATAGGCAAAATTTCAACGATTGCATTTGGGTAAAATTCCAAATCCAGAAAAAGTAACACCGGATGGGAAAGAATGACATCTAGATAAGCTAAGTAGCAAATTGAGAACAGGAAAATTCCATCCCAAATAGGTGAATACTTCCATTACAGATCTTGATGAGTTCTAAATCGCGAAGAAGAGAAATATGGACAGGGTAACATAATTCAGAAAAGGAAAGGGTATCTAATTTGGAGCTTAACTTGAGCTCTGCACATGGACAATTTACAAGTATTGCTGCAGAACTGTTGCAGACTGATGATTCAAGTTCTCTGGGTCTAAATTTGTGAAATCTACTGCAATGGACAAGTTACAAGTATGGAAAGCATAGCTGACAAAGACAATTGAAATCACAGAAACTGAAATTGATTCTCCAGGGGCAAAATTTGTGAAATGTGAGCAAACTGAAATCGACATACATACATACCTGGGGTGTCGCTGATGGTGGTGTGGGGCAGCGATGGTGGTGGTACGGGGCAGCGTAGGCGGTGGTGTGCGACAGCGAGGTTGGAGGGCAAACCTGCAACCGTTTTGGTTAATGTGGGTCGCCGATGTGTGCTGAAATCAGAGTTCGGAAATCACAAAAGTCCAATTGGTTACCTGAAATTAGTCGAGAATCACCGGCGGATGTGTGCTGCAGCAGGCTTCGGAAATCGCCGGTGTAAACAAGGGTTTTGTTTGGGTAATTTTGATCGACGAGCAATCTTCAAGCGGGAATTTGGGTTTTAGGAGGGCGTAGCAATTCTGTAGGTATAAGGAAATGTAGGAATTCTGTAGGTATCAACAAATTGAAAAATTGATGTATTATATTATAATTATAAATATATACAAATACCAACCTTGCGTTTGCGTTTGTGAGTAAATACACTGTAGCTAAGAGTACTTTAGATATTGCATTGTTTACAACTTAACAACGTGGAAGAATCACACACGTGATTTCTATACTCACATATTCTACTCATAATAACTTATAGTTTTTTTTTTCTCTCTTGTTTCACTTTTTACCCTTACAATATAAAACGAAAAAAACGACATTTGATCCTTGAAAATATAAAAAATAAAGAAAGATCGTAGGTAATCTGTAGGTTAATACCTACGGATTGCCTACAGATAAAGGTAATCTGTAGGTAATCCGTATGTATTTACCTACAGATTACCTACGTTATTTTTTTATTTTTCAATTTTCAAAGGTTAAATATTGTTTTTTTCGTTTCGTTTTTTTCACAACTTAATTATACTTTGATTGCTTTGTTTTAACCAATTTATACATAACATAAACTTACAAACAAACGTATGCATCATTAGAAACCATTACTATATACAGAATAAACAAAAAACAATCTATATTTGTTCTTAAGCCACAATTAACATCATTAAACAAATACATAATATACTAAACATAATACATACATATGGTGTGTATGTAATTGTGTGTACTTATTTCTATTTATGTTTAGAACATAACTTTGATTTAAAAAAAAAAAAACTTCTAAACGAGTAATGGTTTCTAATGGTGCATACGTTTGTATGTAAGTTTATGTTATGTATAACTCTGTCAAAACAAAGCAATCAAAGTATAATTAAGTTGTGAAAAAAATAAAACGACATTTGATCCTTGAAAAGTAGAAAAATAAAAAAAGATCGTAGGTAATCTGTAGGTTAATACCTACGGATTGCCTACAGATAAAGGTAATCTGTAGGTAATCCGTAGGTATTTTTACCTACAGATTACCTACGGTATTTTTTTTTATTTTTCAATTTTCAAAGGTCAAATATCGTTTTTTTCGTTTCGTTTTTTCCACAACTTAATTATACTTTGATTGCTTTGTTTTAACCGATTTATACATAACATAAACTTACAAACAAACGTATGCATCATTAGAAACCATTACTATATACAGAATAAACAAAAAGCAATCTATATTTGTCCTTAAGCCACAATTAACATCATTAAACAAATACATGATATACTAAACATAATACATACATATGGTGTGTATGTAAATGTGTGTACTTATTTCTATTTATGTTTAGAAAATAACTTTGATTTAAAAAAAAACTTCTAAATGAGTAATGGTTTATAATGGTGCATACGTTTGTATGTAAGTTTATGTTATGTATAACTCAGTCAAAACAAAGCAATCAAAGTATAATTAAGTTGGAAAAAAATAAAACAGAAAAAACGACATTTGATCCTTGAAAAATAGAAAATAAAAATAGTATGTAGGTAATCTGTAACAAAATACCTACGGATTACCTACATACAAAGGTAATCGGTAGGTAATCTGTAGGTATTACCTACAGATTACTTACGGTCTTTTTTAATTTTTTTATTTTTCAAAGGTCAAATGTTGTTTTTTTTTCGTTTCAGTTTTTTCACAACTTCAATATATTTTGATGGCTTTGTTTTAACCAAGTTATATATAACATAAACTCACATACAAAGGTATGCATCATCAGAACCCATTACTATATACATAATAAACAAAAAGTTATCTATGTTTGTTCTTAAGGCACAATTAACATCATTAAACAAATACATGATATACTAAATATTATTATTTTTAAATGTTTGTGTTTTATATATGTAAAAACAAAATGATCAAAAAAATAGTTGTAAGACTCAAACAATGAAACATAATAATAATATAAAATTATTTCATAGCTATTCTGTAGTCGATCTCTTCCGTCGGTAGTCCGTAGCTAATCTGTAGCGAATTACCTACAGAATATCTACGGATTTAGTTCCGTCGTTATTCCGTAGCAATTGTGTAGCTAATTACTAACGGAATACCTACGGATTTTCGTCTGTAACTACGGCTCTGAGCTTTTCCAGCTAAGGATGACCCTGTTGTACACGGCAGAGCGGATAGACTACCTATAGGAGGAGATGGACGTGGCAAAGCTGCAGATTCTCCTAATGCAGGACCAGTTGCAGGATGCTTACGATGAGACGCAATTTCATCGACATTTATTGAAGGAGGTTGTCTGTCATACCGAGAGTTTGGAGCAGCAGGTTGATAAAGCAGAGTTGAGGATCTTGTAACACCCCGATTCCCAGGTATGAATCTAAAGCTTTATATTTATATTTTTAGGGCAACTTGACGAGTTGGAAGGCTCAACCTCGTCGTGTAGAGTATTTAATGACCGCGTATCTTTAAGGTCTACTCAACGAGTTGGAAGGCCCCAACTCGACGAGTTGAATGCTGAACATGAAAACCCTAATTTTTAGGGTTTGCGCCCTATTTAAAGGCCTTAACTCTCATTTTTGGCCTCCCTCACTGTAACGTCCTAATTTTCAAGACTAAAAATTTCTTTTATAAAACGTTACTTAAAACACATTTATCAATTCCATAACATAATCAGAGTATTAATTCCAAAACATATTTTCATTATCAGAGTAAAACATTCCCAGGCTGTCTAATCTATGGTGTGTGCCATGCGATCACCCCGAGCTCTTCCCTCCGCTACCGGAAGTACCTGAAACCAAAACTGAAAACCGTAAGCACGAAGCTTAGTGAGTTCCCCCAACCTACCACATACCTTGCATAAACACATACTGCAAATACTGGGCCACGCCTGCTACTTCGGGCCTCGCCCGCTACCTCGGGCCTCGCCCGCTACAACAGGCCCCGCCTGGCTTCGAGCCCCGCTCGGATACAGATCTGTTTCTCTTAGGCCCCGCCTGTCTCTGGTCCCCGCCCGCTAACATATACTAACACATAAACCTATCACAACACATAACTGAACATATACTACTGAATCCTGTTCTAAGGCCTCGCCTGTCTTGGGCCTCGCCCCTGTCCTGCTACTGATGAGTCATGGAACCCCGTCCACGCTCCTACTGATAGTGAGATACGGGCCTAGCCCATACTCACTCTTTTCCTAACTTGGGCCTCGCCCCTGCTCTGCTACTAATGAGATATGGAACCCCGTCCACACTCTGCTGTTGGTGAGATACGGGACCTCGCCCACACTCACCTCCCTACCAGGCACATACATGTATCACACAGACAACAAGTATACTCTATCATGCAAACTATTCCTTGGGCACCCGCCCGACCTCGGACCTTGGTCCTGAATATCATACCAGCAAACAATGCCTAGGGCTAACCCCCGGGTCTTCCTACTCATAACTACATGGGCCGGCATTGTGGCCGTAGACCCATCTACACAAAGGGAAACTCACCTCAACTGCTGAAGCTGCTGATAACCCTCTGACTGCTATCTGCCAACTCTCTCTGAACTGCTGCTCCACTAGCTCCCCGAGCTACCAATATCAACATCACACTTAGTCTAACTGTCCTCCGAAAGTCAACTAAGTCTACTCTGGTCAAAGTCAAAGTCCTGGTCAAAGTCAACCTTCCAGGTCAACCCTACTCGTCGAGTCTGTCTACTGACTCGCCGAGTTCATATGCTCAGAATCATTTCATTCGTGACCCGACTCGCCGAGTCTACTGATTTCCGAGTTCTGTCCTGTCCAACTCACTGAGTCCCCACTCAACTCACTGATCCGAGTCTTAACTCGAAGGGTTTGGGGTTTTGCGACTTGACTCGCCGAGTCCAAGAACAGACTCGCCGAGTCCAAGGCCATCTTCAACAGACTCGCCGAGTTGTTCTTCCAACTCGTCGAGTTCCTACCTATCTTCAAACTACTCGCCGAGTCTATTCAGTTCTTAATCCATTTAGTGGCTTTTCGAGCCATGCAAGGGTTCCAACTCATAGATCCATCCTTCCCAAGACTATTCCTCACGTAAAGTTGCAAACTTTACGTGTATCTAAGGAGATCTAAGCTCAAAACACTATAAACTAGGGTTTAAGACAAAGAGGCTTTACAATCAACCCAAAGACTGATACTTTATGGCTCTCTAGGCCAGAATACACTTGGATCTGAAGTAGCAACTTCAGATTTGGGCTCTAACTCGAAATGCTTCATACTTGGTCCAAAATCTCATAAAGAGGGACATGAAGAGATCTAACAATTAACAAGACAAGGACGGAACTTGGTTACCAAAATGAGTAGCAAAAGAGATGAATCTTCTGGATCCACAACCTTCCTCTTGAACCCTCAACTCCTTCTTCTCCTTCTAAACTTCAAGAACACTCCAACTCTTCAACAATGGCTCACACACTCAAAGAGAGCACTAGGGTTTCGTGGAATAGCTTCTGGACAAAGGGGGCTACAAATGAGGCTGATAGAAGGAGAATGAGATGCTTAAATAGTGCACAAAATCTCGGATTTAGGGTTTTCCAACCCAGACCTGACTCGTCGAGTCGGTCCCTCCGACTCGCCGAGTCGGTCACTTAAATCCCGACACGAGTCCCGCTCCAACTCGCCGAGTTCACCCATGGACTCGACGAGTTGACCCTTTGACTTAGGGTTTTCTTTCCTTTCTTGGCCTTTCTGATTTTGGGTGTTACAACTCTCCCCCACTTAAACTAAACTTCGTCCTCGAAGTTCGCTATGGCCAACTGATCTATGATCTACCTCCAACACTCTGTCTGGGAAACCTAACACCCGCTGGCTACCTCTGCTGGCCTTTCGCCTGACCATTTTGACTATCATTAATCTTGTGGATAATATTCTCGGGTCCACCCTCACCCTGACCATCCTGTGAACACAACTTACTCAACTGGCAATCCTTTTGGTACTTCCCGAGTACCTACGCTGATCCTCTCAGGGTTTACATTCTCCTTACCGCTACTACCACTTACTGGAAATTATGTTGCCCCTCATCCGCCTACCGGATGCACTGAGACCACCCTGGTCCAACTAACTTGCCAATATATGGGTCGATCGGACCCCCATCGGTTACTACACCCCAACGCAATCTCCTAGTCGCTCTCAGCGACTTCTGAATACACTTTGACTATCTATAACTGCTCTATCTATTCTG